GGGGGGGGGCACTTGGCTCCACCACTGAAAAGTAACTCCTTTTGGTAAGTCATTCACACACATTAAACAACACTGGTTCGTATATATCGATAGTCGTATTTCATATAAATACATGTAATTGCTACATAAACACAGCTAGCAGACATTTTAAGGTTAAATTTAAACACAATTCAATATGAATTGTATGACTGGTCTAAAATAGACTGCATTACCGCATGCTGTGAACAGTGCGTGAGGTCTGTTGACCTTAGGTGCAATTCTTAGACAAACATTTATTAATTTATGGTAATTTGACTTTGAACATTTTGCTATTCTTGAGTTAGAATAACAACAACAAAAAAAAGGAAGAGGTGTAAATAACTTCTGCATGTCATGTAATTTAAATTATTTGTAACATTATCTTATACATGGAAAAGCACTCTGTCTTCAGCTATATTGACATGATTTCAGCGCACATTTATAGTGACCACAGTGTTTTACAGAACAGAGAAAGACACTTTCTATAGATCATGTTGGACTAAAAGCAGGTTTGGGACGAAGACGGGCTAAGGCGAATTTGAACACGTTTGTGCTTCTCCTCATAGTCTCCCTCTGTAATAATAATAATAATAATAATAATAATAATAATAATAGTTTTAAAGATAATAATCATAAACATAAAATGGCAAAATCACAGAAAAATTGGTGGATAAAATAAGATGCTGTATGATGAATAACCCAAAAACATAATCAAAATGTCCAGTACATATAATATCTTGAAGAATTAATATGGTTATCATATCGGGAGCTAAATGAAAATATTCAGAAATACTGCATGGTCAGACTCAAGCTACAATTTAAAGGTTTTCATTTATATGTTTCTTTTGGTCTGTAAAAAAAATGTATATATGGTCAATGGCAGTTATTTACAAGCTTAGACATAATGTACAATTTCTTTCTTGTTTCAACTGAAGAAAGGATAATCAGTTTAAAAAGAACTTACTTTGTCTATCCTAAGTCTCCAAATGTAACCATTTTTGTCCACATAGAAGATTGCAACACCATCGTACCAACTAAAAACAAGGAATAAGTTATGTACCAGTAAAAGTAAACTGTAACATACCCTCCAATACACCTCCAACATAAAAGCTTTACACCGTTCTTTTTCTGCTGAAAAACAAGGCCTGCCATTACTTCCTCACATAAACATACTTGTAATTTAAAGTACTGGGTAATTTATAAATAACCCCATTATTGAATCCTATCTTTGTGAAATAACCCCTCCCTCCCCTTGAATCGACCCCCTCCCTCTCTCTCTCTCTCCCTCTCTCTCTCTTTTCACAATCTTACTTTTCCAAATCTTCTTTTCTCTTTCTACTGGTCCAGGATCTCCAGAAGGGGACCCCCGCCAGCCTCCAGCGAACAGTTATGCTTCCCGAGTCTGGGTCCACCACTGAGCTCAAAAGTTCAATGCGTGTGTGCAGCAGAACTTTTACTTTAAACTTCTTTGCCCTGAGCCACTTTTTAAAAGCATACACACCACTAGAAAGGGCAAAATTAGTATATATTAAATAAATAATATTTCTTTTTTATGTAGCTCAATAGATTGCCATAAAAAAAACCAATTTCTACAATTTAAATATTAATTTAAACTAACCGGAAAATTCTATGATTCCTTTTTAAATTAAAGTTAGAAAAAAATTAATCAAAGGAACATGTTAAATTTTTGTAATAAATATTTTTTTCTCAGTGCTTTTAGATCTTTGTGATTGAGGGAGAATTGTTGAATTTCCTGGAAAACTAACTTTTTGATACATGCTGTAAAGGTTTAAAGTGCATTGCATGCCTTTAACTTACCATGTGGAGGTGTGTGGTTCATCATATGCGTTCACAAAAACCATATCATCACGAAAAAAATCCCACTGTATCTCTTGAGAAAAAATTGTTGGCATCTGGAAAAAGAAAAATGCATAAATCAATAAAGAAACATTTTCAATAAAATAGTAACCTGATATTTTATCTTAATTAAAATATCATTTCAAAATAAAACTCAATAAGGACTGGAACAAGAAAAGTGCAAACAATTCTGAAACATTTTTACTGGTTTTAACTATAACCAAAGACAGCTGTTTATATTTTCAATACTTTTCCCACACCATATTAACAAAACATTCAAAACTAGAAAAGCACTCCCGAGAGTGCAGACCTCCGCCAAGGCAGCAACTTTTTATTATTATTGATTATTGAATGATTATTGATCCGAATCACCACCAAAAACTGTTCCTTGGCCCACTTCTGACAGTTCCTGAAAATTTCATCAAAATTGATCCATAACTTTTTGAGTTATGTTGATGACAGACAGACAAACAAACAAACAGGGGTGAAAATATATAGACCTGGAGAAAACTTTGGATGCACAGTGAAGTTCTCATTCAGACTGACAAAGTTTAGGTTAACCAGACCCAACAATTTAATTGGTAATTACTTGCTTCATCCCAGCACAAGAGCTCAACGTTTTGTTCCATTATTAACATTTCTAATTAAAAAGCTTAGTTCTACATGGATCATGATTCTGTATCATGATTCTGTTCTGTATCACCAACAAATTCTATGGTTAATAACTTCAAGATAATATCCACATCAGGTACGTATACACTTTAGATAAATTTTTAAAGGGTTTTTATTGTTTTAAAGTCTGAATTGAAAAAGATGAGAAATAGAGCAAGATACTTGGACATTCATGTACAATAAAAATATGACTTGGTCAGGACATTTTCAAACATATATTGAGTACCTTTAACTACCAATATGTAATATGTGCCTTTAAGGGATGACAAAAACTGGCTGTGCTTGGCACTATAAACTTCAAATTTTACTAACTTGCCTCTGACGATGAGTCTGAATAACCTGCAAATATGAAGTTTTGTAAACAAAGTTTTAGCAGCTGGCAGACACTGAACCTGTAGTTGAGAGTATACCAGTATAATTATAAGTCTGTAACTAAGGCCCTTGACTGATAAATTCAAAACATCTGTTAATTATTGGTATTTTTAATTTTTAATCTGTTTGGCAATAATACCTTCTCATTGATATATTCCTGTGCTTTAAATAAAACATCAGCTGGTGTCTTGTCTGGGTCTTCTTCAGGAGATGTAGAGTCTTCTTTTCCATCACACCTGAGTGGTGTATTCAAGCCTAGCTGGTGAACATCCAGCTGAACAGAGTTGAGTAATGTGTGCACGACGCAACCGTTTCTCTTCCCGGACAGAGATAGTGAGCACCCTCCTGGGTCAGCAGGAACAGCACCATGTTTTATACCAAAAGTTTTCAAATTTTGAGACAAATATTTCGACGTCTTTCCATCTAAACTCTGTTGTATACCGTTTTTCTTTTTACCCCAAGCTGTTCCAATATGTCTAGCATCCAGTAAGGAGGACTGAGAAAGCCCATTGATTGGGGAAGACCCAGACAGTGCCCATGTTGCACTTGAAATATCCCCACCTTGTTTCTTCATTCTAACCAGACAGGCCAGCAGCACCTCTAACCCTCCAGCGTCCAGTCCGCGGCCCTTGTCCAACAATGACCCAAGGTCACTTCTGACCTTATCTAACATCTCCCTGGAGCCATCTTTTAAACTCTGGCGGTTTTCAACAAGCAGGTGTCCCTTTAATCTCTCTTGGCAGTTGATGCAGAGCACAGCCTTGGGTGACTCCTTGACGTAGGGTGCCAAATTCAACTCCTCCTGCTTCTTGTTGGTGTAAGTGATTAGAGCACGGCCCTTACATCTACCCACTTGTCTGCTGTGCATAAATATCTGGAATAATTAACATAAGATGGGATATATAGTCGATAGTATATTTTAAAAATGAATTAGTCAGTATATTAGCTGATTAGAATGTCAGTATAATCTGCTTGAAATTATATGCCAATTGAAGATTTACTGCCTGGAAACAAACTCTCGTATGATTAAAAGGGTCATTGCACATGTACAAGATCTCTGTGTATTAATATTATTAGCTTATTTCCTGGCAGGAACCAATGCTGTGTATGGGACATTAATATTGCCTACATACTTGCACATTCATTTGTCCATCGATGGGCAAACTGTCAATGGGTGTATAATTTCCTGGCAGCCAAACTGGTACATGAGCATATGAATCTTACCCTATTCATAATCACAGTACTGTCAAGGCCAAACTGGCTGGCTTTTCAGGAGTGTGCAAATTAAGAAAGTGAGAGGTAAATATAAGCTACAGATTAGAGAGCCAATGAATACAGCCTAGTGGACGCACTACATGTACATGGCTGTCGTTTAGTGGTTACATGCACCTCCATCTTTCTTGCATTTGCACAAATAACACCTATCAGAGACTGTAATTCAATACCCCAGTATGAGTGATACATGTTACACTACAAACGTCATGCTGGGGTGTTGCAAAACATATATATTATCATACAGGCTACAAAAATATACTACCTCAGTGGTACAACTACTACAGTACTAGTACAGGTATATGTACTGTACAGAAGGCCGATTCATCCAAGGTGCAACATCCTAGACTAGTATATATATTGTATTTCAACCCATTTTGAAGGTCGTAACTTTTAAGGCGATTACAAACCTCAAATACAAATAATCCTTGACCTCCTGCTTTTGGTCAAATCTCGAAAGGTCAACAATGACATTGAAAACATTCAAATTTTCAAAGTTAAATTCTAAAATTTACAGATAAAAATTGGAGTATTGCAAAGCAACAAAAATATTCAAAATTTCATACTTACTAGTGAAGACATGGGTAAAATAACTAATGATCTTGGACTTCGAAGAACTGTCAACACGCGCCGAAAGCCTGACGACATGGTTTTTCAATTTAAAACATCCCAACCCAAGCTCAGTCTTCTGTATTTTTTCTGCTCTGACCGGATATTCAAAGTACGCATGTGCGGCGTTCTGTCAAACTTAGGTCAAGGTCAATCTCGCGAGACTGACACACTAATGATGGCTGGTAAGAGGTGACGTTGACAGGTCTAAAGTAACTATCCGAGTTTTCTCGGAGCTTTTTCATTTTCATCATGGATAGTGATGTTGCAGCAAGACGGATGCTGCAAACAATTTTCATTCTTTTACTTATCCATGCAATTTCTTGTGGAATTCAACCGTCGGAGAAAAGAGAACTCAAGTATGTTATCGTCTCATTCAACTTGCAAAGTTATTGTTTGACATTGTGATTTGTATTTTGTAGATTATTACTAAATTACCAGTAGAACACATTGCTCACTCATAGTCAGTTACTGCCTTGATTTAATAAGACACTTCAAGTTATATCTCCAGTGTTCGTTTTTGCTTTGGAATATTGTATTATTTTCCTGTTTCTCTAGCGTCAACATTTTGAACAACTTTTAGTTTGTTTTGATATCGTGGATTGACTGACCCAGGCGTGGCAAGGATTAAGATGAGAGTTACAGTAATTTGTAAAAAATGTGTTAACCAAACGACAAAGGCATTTTGTAAAATTTTGTCAGCTATCGTTTACTAAGTATCAAAGTGCAAAGACATTGTTCAAAGTCACCAAATCACTAGACTTAGAAGGAAAACATTGCTAATCGAAGATGTAAATATTTCTTTGTTGGGGAGGGAAAGGATGCTTAAATACCAAAAATGAATAAGAATATTGTGTCTTGTTTTAGGGAAAAGGTACTGGAGATGTTCAACCATGCATATGGCTCTTATATGGTAGGTTTACTTGCTTAGCATATAATTTATTTCCTCAATATTTGCATTATCACTCGTGCACTCAAGTTGATGTAGCATTTTCCCACTGCTGGCTGTGTTCCCTGAATTGTTTAGATAAAGACAAATGCTGTCATTTTGTAGCACTTATATACATAGACAGATGCTATTAGATATCAAAATATTTTTAAAAAGGGGAGGGAGATCAAAAGTTTCTGTTCTAACACAACAAAATTAAGAATTAAACACAGGTAAAACATAAGCCATCTGAAAGTTTAAAAAATTAATTTTCCATATGATTATGGAACTGAAAATACAAAAATCATTCTGTGTTCTTATTTAAGGACCATGCTTTCCCAGCTGATGAGCTAATGCCACTCAGTTGTAAAGGCAGATACAGAGGAAGTGAGCAGAGCAGAGGAGATGTGGATGATTCCCTGGGAAAGTGAGTGAAATGATCATGACATATCAATTTCAAATTAGCAAAAATTGTATTATTTTTATTTATTTATTTATTTATTTATTTATTTATTTATTTATTATTATTATTTTGTCTGTAAAGAAGGTTTATTGTAAGGAATGTATCATGGAAATGGTGGTTATCTTCATAAAGTGAATCTTAGAGAGGGAATATTGAGGAAATTGCTGAAATTTTATATATTGTGTTCAAAAATAGGTTTTTGGTACTTGTAGAAATATTTTCCTTCTAAGGCACTCTCAGAATATAATTAAGTATTGGACTGCCACATTTTTATCAAGAAAACATATCAGAAGACTCACTTTGGCTTCCTTACTCCCTTTCCTGTGTATGCTCCTTGTTAATAAGATTTTATCTAGATATTACTAACAATTTTTGCTTGTTTATCATTTTGTACATATCAAAATTATTTAATTAATGAATGTTGGGCAATTCATTACACAATTTTATAATAATATTATTCACAGAAATGAAATACAAACTTTTTTGATGTTGTCTATTTTAATGTGACCCTAGTTTTGTTCAGTTTTTTGTATTACATATAGCTAAGGCATCTCTCTATGCACAGTGTGTAATTATTGTAATTGTGTTTTTTCCCAACCTTTTCCAGCTTTTCTCTGACTTTAATTGATACCCTTGACACCTTAGTGGTAAGTGCTGATATCTTTGTGTTCCTAAACCATGTTTATAATTATGATAGGAGTGTAAGACCTTTTTCCCAAGGATTGACTATTTTTGGAAAGATAAACCACTGAGAATATAGGGGGTGCTTTTTGGATATTGCTTATTTCAGGATAGACTATTTTGGAAGGAAAGAAGGAGATTAAAATTTCAGATTATGGAAAAAGGGGAGTGTTTTAACATGTCAAGATTATATCTTACAGAAATTTATGTTTTGAAAATTTTATTTCCTCAAAAATCTGTAGCTGATATAAAAATTAAAAAAGAAAAAACACCTGTTATCACACTATTACAAAATGTGTGTCTGATAAAAAGTAGAAATTACAAGCCCCTTTCTCTGCTCTGTTTACTTTCTAGAAATAATGCCTTGTGTTTGTTTGGTTCAGGTCTTGGGACAAATTGACGACTTTGAAGATGCGGTGAAATTGGTGATACAGGAAGTGACCTTTGACACAGATGTGGTAGTGTCAGTATTTGAAACTAATATTAGGGTACTTGGGTAAGTAAAAATGCTCCATCCTTTATAAAACCTGCACTGATACAAAATACCAATCAATCAGAATGTAACAGGCAAAAGAGATATAGGAATATAGTAATAAGTTGCTAAAACATTTTAACTGCCCATTTCTTTATCTTAGCCTAGGTCTTGTGGCACCATGTGTAAGTGTTTTTTAATATGTTAAGGTATCATCGGTTAAAAGCTGCCAATGACTACTTAAGTTTCCATTCCTTATATGATTCTGTATTAAAAGGGGAAGAGCAAAATGTTTCTCAGCCAAACTATTGACTTAATTGAAATTATGTATAAGAGCATTATGAACAGGTTATTTTAGACAAAATCATAATTTTATTATTTTGCAAAGCACTAGGGGTGCAACTTACATGTATTTGAAATCTAGTCATCAAAATAAATTGAAATGAATTCATTTCTCACTAAGATACATAACATATAAGGGGTATGTAATGTAGAAGCATATATCCATTTAAACAAGATTCTTTTTGAGAGGGATGGTACAGTACAAGGCCAAATGCTGTGACTGTGAAATTGATATAATTTCACTGGAATCATTTCAGGGGTTTATTAGGAGGCCATGTTGTAGCAGCATATCTGAAGAGGGTGAAGAAAGGCATGTTATGGTATAATAATGAACTATTAGTAAAAGCTAAAGACATAGGAGAACGACTACTTCCAGCATTTAACACTACAACAGGAATACCATACCCAAGGGTAAGACTTCACAAGTCCAAATTTTTCATCATAAAAAAATGAAAGTTCCGAAATAAATTGTATTTTTTAAAGAGAAAATGGAAAAGAGATAGCAGATTTTTAGCAGATTTTTATTTCTCATTTCTATATATTTATTTTGTTATTTATTTTTATAAATAGTAATATTTTTTAAAATTTTTTCATTCAGGTCAATTTAAAGTATGGTTTATGTAAAGTGAACTCTAGAACAGGAGTAGAGAAAGACACTTGCACGGCCTGTGCGGGAACCATGATTCTAGAATTTGCTGCTCTCAGTCGACTTACAGGGGACCCAATATTTGAAGTAAGTACAATTTTATTGTGTCTTTGTCAGTCTTTTTTTTTTTTTTAAGGTAGGTTTTATACAGATTAACATTAAGTTACCATTATATATCATATCATATTAGGTCTAAAATTTTAGATACTTCGTTGGAATTTGAATATATGAGTGAGTGTAACAGTTCTTATTCAGAAGTGAAATCCAAACGTTGATGTGATATTAGTACCCTTTATAAACTCATTGACCTGAAAAAAAAAACAATGACCTGAAAAAGAATTTTGACTGTTACCTTCTGATCTTTGTTAGGAAAAAGCGCACAAGGCCATGGAGTTTTTGTGGAAGCAGAGACATCGCTCAAGTGACCTTGTTGGAACTGTGATAAATATACATAATGGGGATTGGGTGAGGAGAGGTGAGATAGAATTCACTGAGAACAAAATTATATAAAATAATCTTAATCTTCAGTTTTCAGTATATATGTTATTTTTCGTATTTTAAAGATGTGACATCAGAAAAATCCCAAAAGTTCACATTTTAAAAAATTTCTTTCTTTCTTTCTTTCTTTCTTTCTTTCTTTCTTTCTTTCTTTCTTTATTTATTTATTGTGCCTTGTTTTGCAGATAGTGGAATAGGTGCAGGGATAGACTCTTATTACGAGTATTTATTAAAAGGCTACATTCTTCTTGGAGATGAAACCTACCTCAACAGATTTAATACGGTGAGTACTGGTCATCAGCAAGACTGGACATTCAGCTGATATCTGACCATTAATCTCCCTTTTTCAAAACCTCCCCCAGGCCATGTCTGTTCATGATAATTTGTAGAGATTGGTGCTTATTATTTATACTGCTGTTTCTTTGTTGTGGAGGAAGGACTTACATATGTGGCAAAATCCTATACCTGCTGTGATATGTTTAATAATATTTACACTGTATTTAATACTGGCCTATTCTAGTATGTTTAAAGTTAAACATGAACTGCAACAGACACACTATATTGGGTAGAATAAGTACTTGTAACTCTAGCCTAGTAATGCATTTTATTAAACGTTAAACCTGCACTGCAGCCAATGTGGTATTTTAACCAAAAAGTGTAAAGACGGCCTGTGTATGAGCAAGTTAAAAGCTGAACTGTAACCAGCATACTATTATAGCCACTATAAGTAAGCTATATGCCTCAGTGGCTTGGCACATGCGTTAGTCTAACATACAGTGGCAACCACATGCAGGTGGGAGACCTATAGACAATTACAAAACCAGGATCTGTTACAAATGCTGTAACTTCCTTAATTTACCAGCATAGTCAATTTATGAGTAATTGCATCAGGCATATTTTGTCGAATTGCACTGTTATTCAATAGAATGAGTTAAAATTTTCAGAGTGATGTGCGTTTGCCTGTGTGAACATTTTTGCACATACTAGACTAGTACAGATTTCATTATTAGTTACAACAGTGGCAGATCTAGGGGTGGGCACATAACATAACTTTCCTGTATTGCACTCTGCACATTATGATAAAAACTTAATCTACAGTTTTATATTTGCCTCAATTTGCTAAGCAAATTTTTCTTCCACACTCCACACTCCCGGCTAAATTCTTGAATAACCCCTCCCCCCTCCTGTTGCTGAATGATAATATTTGCAGAACATTTAAAATTCACTCTTATTTATCACAAGTACCATCACGAAGAAACAACACATTTCATGAATAAGCAATTCCAGGTGTATATATTTTTCACCTCGATGATTGTCCTCACACGTGATTTGAGCAGAAATAATCCATTGTCCCGAGCTACAATTGTAATAAATATACCATTGTCATTGCAGCATTATGATGCTATAATGAGGTACGTGAACCAGGGACCTCTCATGTTAGACGTGCACATGCATAAACCTACCAGTAATACACGCCATTTCATGGATGCTCTCACTGCATTCTGGCCTGGGTTGCAGGTAAGTTAACTGAACATTGTGCTGTATGGGCTTTACGTAGTAGATCAATGAATTAGAAAATAGGCCAGTTTAAAAAATGTGACTTCAAGTCTGTAAAAACATTCCAAAGACACAGCAACTTGCAAAATGTAGCCTTGTCTTTCACTTAAATCTGTTCTTAAGGTATAAAAATTGAAAACAAGGCTTCTGTGAGAGTTATTTCAGGCAAGGTCAAGGTTATGTAGTACATATCAGAGAGGTTTGTTTTTGTTGATTAGTTCACAGTGCTATTTTTGTGTGTTTTAGGTACTTAAAGGAGACATCAAACCAGCAATAGAAATCCATGAGCTTCTGTATCAGATAACACAGAGACATAACTTCCTACCAGAGGTAAGCAGTGATTGAAAGGCTTCCTCTGGTCATGGCTGACTGTGGATAGTACATTTTATTATTAATTATTATTGTTTAATTGAGTCATAATGGAGTTACATGTACATTAGAGAGATAGTGTNTGTGAAAAAACAGCATAACTTCTAAAATAATGCCCCGATTATGCTGATTTTCAAACTCAACCTGCGTTTTAGTAAGGCTGACCATTCCTGTGAGTTTGATGACAATTGGGCTTTCTGTTTTTCTTATATTGTGTTTACAGTGTTGCATATATGCTGAACAATGAAAAAACGTATAACTACTAAACTAGTGGCCGGATCATGCTGATTTTCGAACTTGACCTGCATTTTAGTAAGATTGATTACTCCTGTGAGTTTCATGACAACAGGCCTAACGGTTTTCCTTAAAATTTGTTTACAAGGTTGCATATATGCTGAAAAGTGAAAAAACAGCATAACTTCTACAATAATGGCCCGATCATGCTGATTTTCGAACTTGACCTGCGTTTTATGGATATTCATCAGCTCTGTAAATATAAAGCCAAAAAGTGAAACTGCCTTCCACTTATCGTGTTTACAAGGAAAGTTCACGGCGCCAGCGCCAGCATTGGCGACGGCGACGACAGACGCAGGTGATGGCAATATGTACAGACACATCAGTGTCTGTACATAAAAATAATAATAATAATTATTATTATTATAATAATGATAATAATTATAGTTTTAAAGATAATAATCATAAACATAAAATGGCAAAACCACAGAAAAATTAGGGGATAAAATAAGATGCTATATTATGAATAACTCAAAAACTCAAAATGTCCAGTACATACAATATCTTGAAGAATTAATATGGTTATCATATCAGGAGCTAAATGAAAATATTCAGAAATACTGCATGGTCAGACTTTAGCTACAATTGAAAGGTTTTCATTTATGTTTCTTTTGGTCTGTAAAAATAAAGTGTATACGGTCAATGGCAGTTATTTACAAGCTAAGACATAATGTACAATTTCTGTCTTGATTCAGCTGAAGAAAGGATTAATCAATTTAAAAAGAACTTACTTTGTCTATCCTAAGTCTCCAGATGTAACCATTTTTGTCCACATAGAAGATTGCAACACCATCGTACCAACTAAAAACAAGGAAAAAATTATGTAAAAGTAAACTGTAACATACCCTCCAATACACCTCCAACATAAAAGCTTTACACTGTTCTTTCTGCTGAAAAACAAGGCCTGCCATTACTTCCTCACATAAACATACTTGTAATTTAAAGTACTGGGTAATTTATAAATAACCCCAATATTAAATCCTTTCTTTGTGAAATAACCCCTCCCTCCCCTTGAATCGACCTCTCTCTCTTCACAATCTTACTTTTCCAAATCTTCTTTTCTCTTTCTACTGGTCCAGGATCTCCAGAAGGGGACCCCCGCCAGCCTCCAGCGAACCGTTATGCTTCCCGAGTCTGGGTCCACCACTGAGCTCAAAAGTTCAACGCGTGTGTGCAGCAGAACTTTTACTTTTAACTTCTTTGCCCTGAGCCACTTTTTAAAAGCATACACACCACTAGAAAGGACAAAATTAGTATATATTAAATAAATAATATTTCATTTTCATGTAGCTCAATAGATTGCCATAAAAAAACCCAATTTCTACAATTTAAATATTAGTTTACTAAACTAATCAGAAAAATCTATGATTCCTTTTAAAATTAAAGTTATAAAAATTAATCAAAGGAACATGTTACAATTTTGTAATATTTTTTCTCAATGCTTTTATATTTTTGTGACCGAGGGAGAATTGTTGAATTTCCTGGAAAATTTACTTTCCGATACATGCCATAAAGGTTTAAAGTGCATTGCATGCCTTCAACTTACCATGTGGTGGTGTGTGGTTCATCATATGCATTCACAAAAACCATATCATCACGAAAAAAATCCCACTGTATCTCTTGAGAAAAAATTGTTGGCATCTGGGAAAAGAAAAATGCATAAATTAATAAAGAAACATTTTCAATGAAATAGTAACCTAATATTTTATCTCAATTCAAATATCAATTCAAAATAAAACTGAATAAGGACTGGAACAAGAAAAGTGCAAACAATTCTGAAACTTTTTTTCTGGTTTGAACTACTGTATAACCAAAGACAGCTGTTCCCATTTTCTAAGTGTTTCAATACTTTGCCCACACCACATTAACAAAACATTAAAAATAATTGCCATATCCTGTGCAGATGTGGAGAAAACTTTGGATGCACACTGAAGTTCTCATTCAGATGACAAAGTTTAGATTAACCAGACCCAATAATTTAAATGGTAATTACTTGGCAATGCTTCATTCCAGCACAAGAGCTCAACGTTTTGTTCCATTTTTAACATTTCTTATTAAAAAGCTTAGTTCTACATGGATCATGATTCTGTTTCATGATTCTGTTCTGCATCACTGACAAATTCTATGGTTAAGAACTTCAAGATAATATTCACATCAGGTATACACTTAAAGATAATAAATAAATTTTCATTAATGAAGGGGTTTTATTGTTTTAAAGTCTGAATTGAAAAAGATGAGAAATAGAACAAGATACTTGGACATTCATGTACAGTAAAATATGACTTGGTCAGGACATTTTCAAACATATATTGAGTACATTTTACTACCAATATGTTGTATGTGCCTTTAAGGAATGACTAAATCTAGCTGTGCTTGGCGCAATAAACTTCAAATTTTACTAACTTGCCTCTGACGATGAGTCTGAATAACCAGCAAATATGGAAGTTTTGTAAATGAAGTTTTAGCAGCTGGCAGACACTGAACCTGTAGTTGAGAGTATACCAGTATAATTATCAGTCTGTAACTAAGGGCCTAGACTGATAAATTAAAAACATCTGTTAATTATTGCTATTTTTAATTTTTAATCTATTTGGCAATAATACCTTCTCATTGATATATTCCTGTGCTTTAAATAAAACATCAGCTGGTGTCTTGTCTGGGTCTTCTTCAGGTGACGTAGATTCTTTTCCATCACACCTGAGTGGTGTATTCAAGCCTAGCTGCTGATGATCCAGCTGAACAGAGTTGAGTAATGTGTGTACGATGCAACCGTTTCTCTTCCCGGACAGAGACAGTGAACACCCTCCAGGGTCAGCAGGAACAGCACCATGTTTTATACCAAAAGTTTTCAAATTCTGAGACAAATTTTTCGATGTCTTTCCATCTAAACTCTGTTGTATACCGTTTTTCTTTTTACCCCAAGCTGTTCCAATATGTCTAGCATCCAGTAAGGAGGACTGAGAAAGCCCATTGATTGGGGAAGACCCAGACAGTGCCCATGTTGGACTTGAAATATCCCCACCTTGTTTCTTCATTCTAACCAGACAGGCCAGCAGCACCTCTAACCCTCCAGCGTCCAGTCCGCGGCCCTTGTCCAACAATGACCCAAGGTCACTTCTGACCTTATCTAACATTTCCCTGGAGCCATCTTTTAAACTCTGGCGGTTTTCAACAAGCAGGTGTCCCTTTAATCTCTCTTGGCAGTTGATGCAGAGCACAGCCTTGGGTGGCTCCTTGACGTAGGGTGCCAAATTCAACTCCTCCTGCTTCTTGTTGGTGTAAGTGATTAGAGCACGGCCCTTACATCTTCCCACTTGTCTGCTGTGTATAAATATCTGGAATAATTAACATAAGATGGGATATATAGTTGATAGTATATTTTAAAAATGAATTAGTCAGTATAATAGCTGATAAGAATGTCAGTATAATCTACTTGAAATTATATGCCAATTGAAGATTTACTGCCTGGAAACAAACTCTCGTATGATTAAAAGGGTCATATTGCACATGTATAAGATCTCTGTGTATTAATATTATTAGCTTATTTCCTGGCAGGAACCAATGCTGTGTATGGGACATTATTATTGCCTACATACTTGCACATTTAATGGGCGAACTGTCAATGGGTGTATAATTTCCTGGCAGCCAAACTGGTACATGAGCATATGAACCTTACCCTATTCATAATCACAGTACTGTCAAGGCCAAACTGGCTGGCTTTTCAGGAGTGTGCAAATTAAGAAAGTGAGATGGCTGTCGTTTAGTGGTTACATGCACCTCCACCTTTCTTGCATTTGCACAAATAACACCTATCAGAGACCATAATTCAATACCCCAGTATGAGTGATACACGTTACACTACAAACTTCATGCTGGGGTGTTGCAAAACATATATATTATCATACAGACTACAAAAATATACTACCTCAGTGGTACAACTACTACAGTACAGGTAGTATATGTACAGAAGGCTGATTCATCCAAGGTGCAACATACTAGACTAGTATATATATTGTATTTCAACCCATTTTGAAGGTCGTAACTTTTAAGGCGATTACAAACCTCAAATACAAATAATCCTTGACCTCCTGCTTTTGGTCAAATCTCGAAAGGTCAACAATGACATTGAAAACATTCAAATTTTCAAAGTTAAATTCTAAAATTTACAGATAAAAATTGGAGTATTGCAAAGCAACAAAAATATTCAAAATTTCATACTTACTAGTGAAGACATGGGTAAAATAACTAATGATCTTGGACTTCGAAGAACTGTCAACACGCGCCGAAAGCCTGACGACATGGTTTTTCAATTTAAAACATCCCAACCCAACAAGCTCAGTCTTCAGTATTTTTTCTGCTCTGACCGGATATTCAAAGTACGCATGTGCGGCGTTCTGTCAAACTTAGGTCAAGGTCAATCTCGCGAGACTGACACACTAATGATGGCTGGTAAGAGGTGACGTTGACAGCTCTAAAGTAACTATCCGAGTTTTCTCGGAGCTTTTTCATTTTCATCATGGATAGTGATGTTGCAGCAAGACGGATGCTGCAAACAATTTTCATTCTTTTACTTATCCATGCAATTTCTTGTGGAATTCAACCGTCGGAGAAAAGAGAACTCAAGTATGTTATCGTCTCATTCAACTTGCAAAGATATTGTTTGACATTGTGATTTGTATTTTGTAGATTATTACTAAATTACCAGTAGAACACATTGCTCACTCATAGTCAGTTACTGCCTTGATTTAATAAGACACTTCAAGTTATATCTCCAGTGTTCGTTTTTGCTTTGGAATATTGTATTATTTTCCTGTTTCTCTAGCGTCAACATTTTGAACAACTTTTAGTTTGTTTTGATATCGTGGATTGACTGACCCAGGCGTGGCAAGGATTAAGATGAGAGTTACAGTAATTTGTAAAAAATGTGTTAACCAAACGACAAAGGCATTTTGTAAAATTTTGTCAGCTATCGTTTACTAAGTATCAAAGTGCAAAGACATTGTTCAAAGTCACCAAATCACTAGACTTAGAAGGAAAACATTGCTAATCGAAGATGTAAATATTTCGGTACTTTTGTAGTATACCCCCCCACCCTGTAACTTCCTGAAACTTTCATTTTTCAAACATTTTTTTTACATTGTCTTATTCACCTATGTCAAAGCTGTTGAAATAAAATGTTTTTGTAATTACCTGTGGTCTTTTTATTAGTTTTAATCACGTTTGATCCACCCCATTGAAATACAATGTGAAAATTTACAATGTACCCGCAGTCAATAACTTGCCGCGTTTTAGTTGGCTAACTCTACCTTATTTTATGTGAACATAGGATTGATACATTGTGTACTTGGACTTCCTCTGTGAAATTATTATGAGCTACTTGTTCACATAAAATTACCTTAGAGTTAGCCAACGAAAACGCGGCAAGTTATTGACTGCGGGTGTAAATTGAAGATTCTAACATTGTATTTCAATGGGCTGGCTTAAACGTAATTAAAACCAATAAAAAGTCCACAGGTAATTACAAAAGCATTTTATTTCAACAGCTTTGACATAGATGAATAAGAAAATGTAAAAAATTGTTTGAAAAGTGAAAGTTACAGAAAGTTACAGGGTGGGGGGGTATACTACAAAAGTACCAATATTTCTTCGTTGGGGAGGGAAAGGATGCTTAAATACCAAAAATGAATAAGAATATTATGTCTTGTTTTAGGGAAAAGGTACTGGAGATGTTCAACCATGCATATGGCTCTTATATGGTAGGTTTACTTGCTTAGCATATAATTTATTTCCTCAATATTTGCATATCACTCGTGCACTCAAGTTGATGTAGCATTTTCCCACTGCTGGCTGTGTTCCCTGAATTTAGGCCAGTAAACGAGCATATTTTCCCCATTGAGGTTGGAAAAAATTGGTGACAAAGGTTTCTCAACTGATTCTGGTCCGTTGAAGGCCCAGTATAGCCCAAAAAATTTTCCCCATAAATCCCCCCATGGCAAAGTCTCATTTTCCACAAAAATCCAAAATGGTCGCTATTGAATGGGGTGGGTGGACTTGAAATGCATAACTTGGGAACCCAATGTCACAGAAACATGTTTTTAGTATCAACTCCTACTAAGTGAGGGATCCCCAATCTTTTGAAAGTAGTCTCAAGGTCACTAAAGGTCAAGGTCATGACCTTATTACAAGGTCAAGGCATTTTTGGAGGAAAAAAACCCATAATGTCTATATGACAGTTTCCCAATGTCACAGAAACATGTTTTAAGTATCAACTCCTACTAAGTGAGGGATTCCCAATCTTTTGCAACCACTTTCAAGGTCACTGGAGGTCAAGGTCATGACCTAATCGTAAGATCTATACATTTTGCGAGCAAAAAGATGACGTGCTGTCCATATATTGGTAACCTAATGCCACAAAACATATTTTAGTATCCACTATTATTGAATGATGCACCACCAATCTTTTGCAAATTTATTCAGAGTCATTTGGGGTCAAGACCCTAATTTCAAGGACACTGCATTTTTCGAGCAGAAAATTCCCATATTAGCCAAAACTTTGTAATTGGATGTCACAGAAGCATGTTTAAATATCATTTCCTACTACGTGAGGTTCTGAGAATAATATGCAATTGCTTTCAAGGGACCAGAGGTCAATGTTATGACCTTATTTTCAAGGTCATGGCATTTTTAGCTCGGACAAAATGCCATCATGTCTACATTTTGATAACCCGACCAATGTCACAGAAACATGTTTAAAGTATCGATTCATACTAAAGTGACATATTGCCGATCATTTGAAACTATGGCTTCATTCACATGCAATGTCTATTTTCTAAATTCTATTTTCTATTCGCGGTATGTCTTATGATCACGGTCTGTGCCCTTAACATCCCGCGGCGTAATTACTGGCAGCGCGAGCCAGTTACTATAAGTTACTATAAGTAACTGGCTCGCGCTGCCAGTAATTACGCGGCGGGATATTACTTAGATCACCACAGGTCAGGGTCATATCCTTATAACAAGGTTGTCATAATATAATATTTAAGAAAAATTGATTTTACACTTATCAAATACATCGCAGGTGATTGTTTAAAAAGTATTTCATTACAGAAAAGGCATCGCTGCTACTGCATATTACTCATTTAAATAAATGACATGCAGTTTACAAGGGTTAAGGGTATACTGTACCCAATTCAAAACCACTAGGGCCTAGGTGTTATATCTATGTTTAAATAACGCTGTGTGTTTTACATTATACAGGAACTAAAAGTACACTGAAAACTTAATAAAAAAATATAAAATTGTTTCATACTGGGCAAAGACAGCCTGTTATACAATCACCATTGTAGTCTCACACAATTGTAGTCTCACATAAGACATGTAAAAAATTGGAATATTCAGAATCTTATTACAGCATTCTATACTACTGCAATGGGGGCCGGAATTAATTCATGTTGGGTATATATATATTTAGATAAAACATTCTGGAATTAGAAACGGGGATGTTTTATATTGGACACAGGATGGGGGTACAAACTGCCAGTAAAAAAAAAACAATCATACAACCGGTGGTAAGTTTACAAGGAATGAAACAACCATATCAGAAGTAGGTTAGCAGTTTCCCTGGGGAAAAATAACCAGGTGGGATGGCACCTTTTTATGGTATTTACCTTCTTGCCCAGAAGTCAGATTGCTACACCATTTGAACATCCGTAACAAATAACTTGGGTTTCTCTGCAGCTTTTTAAAAAAAAAATTATCAAATGTTGATTTCTCAGATATTCACTTCCAATGCTTCTCTCAAATCTTCAAACTTACTAGCCACAAGTTTATCACAATTGCTAGCTGTGGGTCTTTAACAATAGGTCTACATGTAGATGTGGCATAGCAGAGATAGGTATGGGTCAATAAGAGTCCTTTTCAGAGAAGAAATACATTTTCCTGGACAAATTTAAGGAGCAATTTGACTGCATGATGGACAGTGATTAAAAGGCAAATGTGTCCTCTGCAGATAAGTTGGACTATTTGCTTCATTGCAACTTGAGGATATAAGGTAGTCTGCATTAATGCACAACATTCAATAAGCATTTATTACCACCTGATCACTTAATAGTTGTCAGAAGGTTATTTCTACATGGTCAGATCCAAACTGAAGGATACAAAGTCCCTGCTACAACCGTTTGTACGTCCCTTGTCCTTGGTGCTTTGACCATCAAATACAGGCCTGTAGCCAGTGGCATTCTGGATAAAATTTTATCTAATTACACAAATATTTCTTGGTAGAAGGTCCACTTTTTCAGAAAAAGCCCCCCTCCCCCTTTTTGAGACCGCAAGCTCGACACAATGACTGTCAACTGAGCTGCAGCAATGTAAACGAAGGATGATGACGAGAGCCTGTAGCCAGTTTCCTATCCTAACAGACCTGATAAAAACTTCCAGGTTGCAATCATGTCTCAGTATTAGTTCTCCATTCTGACAGGAGCTGGCATGATATGAAAACATGTAACTACTTTTGACACAGATGAGCACACCACGAAACAGCAGCTTTAAAGTTTATCGACCAACACATACTACACCTTCTAATAGAGTGTTCACTTGCGGTGAGCAAGTTCTTTCCAGCAAATGACCGTCTGCTTATTTAAGAATCCCACTGCAGGACCAAGAATTGGGATATTTAGGAAAAAAATGCTGAAATGACACTCAAAGTGCACCATCTACAAGTTTGTCTTCACACAAAAAAGTTCTTAATTTCCCACTCAGCCCATCAAAATCACCCAATTAACCCAAGTACCGACTTGTGTCAGCATGCTCAGTAGGCTTGGGAGAGGGTATAGCTCTTAGACCTCACCCATCCATGATGGAGCTAAAGGTATTGAATCGACCATTAAGATTCAACACACTTTACCATTGGCAATTCAGTAATGGCTGGCCTTTGGTTGTCATAAAAGCAACCAAATACAGATACTGATTAAATGGACAAATATGCTTTATCCACTATCTCCTCTCTAAAATGGCACACAGATACTCCAAAGTAGATCATGCATAAAAAGGTAGGACAAGAAGGCTTTAGGTCAATCATTGGGCAGACAAGAAGAGAGCTTATGCCTATAGCACCTGTATTAAAATTAAGTATTTACATCAAACCACAATTAGTGGGCTCAGGTCGCTCTATAAAATGTAACATTTGTCATAAAGAATGGAGATGCATATTTTGCTCTTAAAGAATCTTATGTGTTGTATTTAGCACACCCTAGAATCAAATTTTCATTAAATTTCATGATGACCTTGCAATAAGGTCAAGCCTGTACCTCCTAGATTTTGGAAATAGTTGCAAATGATAAACAGGGCCCCATTTACAAGGCATTAATTGGCACGCTTAACACGTTTCTGACACATTTGGTAATTGAGAAAGTATGGAAGTTTGCTCGAAAACCTCATGACCTTGTAATTAGAGGTCATAAACTTAACCTCTGGTGACCTTTAAATTAGTTGCAACTGATTGTTTACTTCTCATTTAGAAGGAATTGATACATTAAACATGCATGATTTAGTGACATACGGTTACCAAGATATAGATAATATGATATCATTCACTTGAAAAATACCATGACCTTGAAATTATTTCATAATATTGGCTTCTGGTGACTTTGAAAATAGTTACAAGTGTTTGGCAGTGTCCCACTTGGGTTATATTGTTTCTTCTAACATGTTTCTATGACACTGGGAAACTGTCACATAGACTAAGTTTTTTTTTTGCTCCAAAAATGCCTTGACCTTGTAATAAGATCATGACCTTGACCTCTGGTGACCTTGATATTAGTTGCAAAAGATTGGGGATCCCTCACTTAGTAGGCATTGATACTTAAAACATATTTCTGTGACACTTGGAAACTGTCATATAGATATTATGGGTTTTTTTTTCTCCAGATTTGCCTTGACTTTGTAATAAGGTCATGACCTTGACCTCCAGCGACCTTGAAACTAGTTGTAAAAGATTGGTGATCCTTCACTTAGTAGGAATTGATACTTAAGGCATGTTTCTGTGACATTGGGTTCCCAAGTTATGCATTTCAAGTCCACCCACCCCATTCAATAGCGGCCATTTTGGATTTTTGTGGAAAATGAGACTTTGCCATGGGGGGATTCATGGGGAAAATTTTTTGGGCTATATTGGGCCTTCAACGGACCAGAATCAATTGAGAAACCTTTGTCACCAATTTTTTCCAACCTAAGTTGTTTATTGACTGGCCTAATTGTTTAGATAAAGACAAATGCTGTCATTTTGTAGCACTTATATACATAGACAGATGCTATTAGATATCAAAATATTTTTAAAAAGGGGAGGGAGATCAAAAGTTTCTGTTCTAACACAACAAAATTAAGAATTAAACACAGGTAAAACCTAAGCCATCTGAAAGTTTAAAAAATTAATTTTCCATATGATTATGGAACTGAAAATACAAAAATCATTCTGTGTTCTTATTTAAGGACCATGCTTTCCCAGCTGATGAGCTAATGCCACTCAGTTGTAAAGGCAGATACAGAGGAAGTGAGCAGAGCAGAGGAGATGTGGATGATTCCCTGGGAAAGTGAGTGAAATGATCATGACATATCAATTTCAAATTAGCAAAAATTGTATTATTTTTATTTATTTATTTATTTATTTATTTATTTATTTATTATTATTATTTTGTCTGTAAAGAAGGTTTATTGTAAGGAATGTATCATGGAAATGGTGGTTATCTTCATAAAGTGAATCTTAGAGAGGGAATATTGAGGAAATTGCTGAAATTTTATATATTGTGTTCAAAAATGGGTTTTTGGTACTTGTAGAAATATTTTCCTTCTAAGGCACTCTCAGAATATAATTAAGTATTGGACTGCCACATTTTTATCAAGAAAACATATCAGAAGACTCACTTTAGCTTCCTTACTCCCTTTCCTGTGTATGCTCCTTGTTAATAAGATTTTATCTAGATATTACTAACAATTTTTGCTTGTTTATCATTTTGTATATCAAAATTATTTAATTAATGAATGTTGGGCAATTCATTACACAATTTTATAATAATATTATTCACAGAAATGAAATACAAACTTTTTTGATGTTGTCTATTTTAATGTGACCCTAGTTTTGTTCAGTTTTTTGTATTACATATAGGTGGCTCCGGCATCTCTCTATGCACAGTGTGTTATTATTGTAATTGTGTTTTTTTCCAACCTTTTCCAGCTTTTCTCTGACTTTAATTGATACCCTTGACACCTTAGTGGTAAGTGCTGATATCTTTGTGTTCCTAAACCATGTTTATAATTATGATAGGAGTGTAAGACCTTTTCCCCAAGGATTGACTATTTTTGGAAAGATAAACCATTGAGAATGTAGGGGGTGCTTTTTGGATATTGCTTATTTCAGGATAGACTATTTTGGAAGGAAAAAAAGAGATTAAAATATCAGATTATGGAAAAAGGGGAGTGTTTAAACATGTCAAGATTATATCTTACAGAAATTTATGTTTTGAAAATTTTATTTCCTCAAAAATCTGTAGCTGATATAAAAATTTAAAAAAAAACACCTGTTATCACACTATCACAAAATGTGTGTCTGATAAAAAGTATAAATTACAAGCCCCCTTCCCTGCTCTGTTTACTTTCTAGAAATAATGCCTTGTGTTTGTTTGGTTCAGGTCTTGGGACAAATTGATGACTTTGAAGATGCGGTGAAATTGGTGATACAGGAAGTGACCTTTGACACAGATGTGGTAGTGTCAGTATTTGAAACTAATATTAGGGTACTTGGGTAAGTAAAAAATAGTCCATGCTTTATTAAACCTGTACTGATACAAAAATACTAATTATTCAGAAAGTAACAGGCAAAAGAGATACAGGAATAATGAGTTTCTAAAATGTTTTAACTGCCTATCTATCTCTTAGCCTAGGACTTGTCGCACCATGAGTGTGTGTTTTAATATGTTAAGGTAAATACTGCCTATGATTACTTACGTTTCCATATCTTGTATGATTCTGTAATAAAAGGGGAAGAGCAAAAGGTTTTTCAGCCAGGCTACTGACTTAATTGAAGTTATGCATTAGAATTGCCTTCCTAGCTGGTGAACAAAATTATAATGAGCACTATGAACAGGTTATTTTACACAAAATCATAATTTTATCATTTTGCAAAGCACTGGAGATGCAACTTACATGTATTTCAAGTCTAGCCATCAAAATAAATCGAAATGAATTCATTTTTCCCTAAGATACATAACATATAAGGGGCATGTAATGTATAGGCATATATCCATTTAAACGAGATTCTTTATGAGAGGGATGGTACAAGGCCAAATGCTGGGACTGTGAAATTGATATAATTTCACTGGAATCATTTCAGGGGTTTATTAGGAGGCCATGTTGTAGCAGCATATCTGAAGAGGGTGAAGAAAGGCATGTTATGGTATAATAATGAACTATTAGTAAAAGCTAAAGACATAGGAGAACGACTACTTCCAGCATTTAACACCACAACAGGAATACCATACCCAAGGGTAAGACTTCACAAGTCCAAATTAAAAAAATTTCATCATAAAAAAATGAAAGTTCCGAAATAAATTGTATTTTTTAAGGAGAAAATGGAAAAGAGATATAACACCTGAGCAGATTTTTATTTCTCATTTCTATATATATTTATTTTGTTATTTATTTTTATAAGTAGTAATATTTTTTTTAATTTTTTCATTCAGGTCAATTTAAAGTATGGTTTATGTAAAGTGAACTCTAGAACAGGAGTAGAGAAAGACACTTGCACGGCCTGTGCAGGAACCATGATTCTAGAATTTGCTGCTCTCAGTCGACTTACAGGGGACCCAATATTTGAAGTAAGTACAATTTTATTGTGTCTTTGTCAGTCTTTTTTTAAGGTAGGTTTTAGACAGATTAACAGTGAGTTACCATTATACATCATATCATATTAGGTCTAAAATTTTAGATATTTCGTTGAAATTTGAATATATTAGTGAAACAATTCCTATTCAAAAGTGAAATCTAAACCTGTTGATGTGATATTAGTACCTTTTATGAACTCTTTTTTTTTAAACTATGACCTGAAAATATTTCCAACTGTCACCTTCTAAACTTTGTTAGGAAAAAGCGCACAAGGCCATGGAGTTCTTGTGGAAGCAGAGACATCGCTCAAGTGACCTTGTTGGAACTGTGATAAATATACATAATGGGGATTGGGTGAGGAGAGGTGAGTAAGAATTCACCCAGAAAAAATTATGTAAAATAATCTAAATCTTCAGTTTTCAGTATGTATCTTATCTTTCATATTTTAAAAATTTGGCATCAGAAAAATCTCAAAAGTTTAGACTTTTAAAAATTAATTAATGTATTTATTTAATTATTTATTTATTTATTGTGCCTTGTTTTGCAGATAGTGGAATAGGTGCAGGGATAGACTCTTATTACGAGTATTTATTAAAAGGCTACATTCTTCTTGGAGATGAAACCTACCTCAACAGATTTAATACGGTAAGTACTGGACATTCTGATATCTGACCAGTAATCTCTCTTTTTCAAAACCTCCCCCAGGCCATGTCTGTTAATGATGATTTGTAGAGATCAGTGCTCACTATTTACACTGCTGTTTCTTTGTTTAGGAGGAAAGACTTACATATATGGCAAAATCCTATACCTGCTGTGATATGTTTAATAATATTTACACTGTATTTAATACTGGCCCAGAAATGTATGTTTAAAGTTTAACATGAACTGCAACAGACACACTATATTCGGTAGAATAAGTACTTGTAACTCTGGCCTAGTAATGCATTTTATTAAACGTTAAACCTGCACTGCAGCCAATGTGGTATTTTAACCAAAAAGTGTAAAGACGGCCTGTGTATGAGCAAGTTAAAAGCTGAACTGTAACCAGCATACTATTATAGCCACTATAAGTAAGCTATATGCCTCAGTGGCTTGGCACTACTAACATACAGTGGCAACCACATGCAGGTGGGAGACCTATAGACAATTACAAAACCAGGATCTGTTACAAATGCTGTAACTTCCTTAATTAACCAGCATAGTCAATTTATGAGTAATTGCATCAGGCATATTTTGTCAAATTGCACTGTTATTCAATAGAATGAGTTAATATTTTCAGAGTGATGTGTGTTTGCCTGTGTGAACAATTTTGCACATACCAGACTAGTACAGATTTCATTATTAGTCACAACAGTGGCAGATCTAGGGGTGGGCACATAACATAACTTTCCTGTCTTGCACTCTGCACATTATGATAAAAACTTTATCTACAGTTTTATATTTGCCTCACTTTGCTAAGCAAACTTTTCTTCCACACCCAACACTCACAGCTAAATTCTTGAATAACCCCTCCCCCCCTCCTGTTGCTGAATGATAATTTTTGCAGAACATTTAAAATTCACTCTTATTTATCACAAGTACCATCACGAAGAAACAACACATTTCATGAATAAGCAATACCAGGTGTATATTTTTTGCCCCAATGATTGTGTTCACACGTGATTTGAGCAGAAATAATCCATTGTCCTGAGCTGCAGTTGTAATAGATTTTCCATTGTCATTGCAGCATTATGATGCTATAATGAGGTACGTGAACCAGGGACCTCTCATGTTAGACGTGCACATGCATAAACCTACCAGTAATACACGCCATTTCATGGATGCTCTCACTGCATTCTGGCCTGGGTTGCAGGTAAGTTAACTGAACATTGTGCTGTATGGGCTTTAGTAGATCAATGAATTAGAAAATAGGTCATTTTAAAAAATGTGACTTCAAGTCTAAAAACATTCCAAAGACACAGCAACTTGCAAAATGTAGCCTTGTTTTTCACTTAAAATCTGTTCTTAAGGTATAAAAATTGAAAACAAGGCTTCTGTGAGAGTTATTTCAGGCAAGGTCAAGGTTATGTATTACATATCAGAGAGGTTTGTTTTTGTTGATTAGTTCACAGTGCTATTTTTGTGTGTTTTAGGTACTTAAAGGAGACATCAAACCAGCAATAGAAATCCATGAGCTTCTGTATCAGATAACACAGAGACATAACTTCCTACCAGAGGTAAGCAGTGATTGAAAGGCTTCCTCTGGTCATGGCTGACTGTGGATAGTATACTTTATTATTAATTATTATTGTTTAATTGAGTCATAATGGAGTTACATGTACATTAGAGAGAGAGAGAGTAACAAATACTTCTACATAAACAAAAACTATAATAGTGATTCCTTGCACGTCCATCAAAGTTGTATGTTATGTTACTGAAATACCTTATAAATATATGATAGTATTTGAATCTTATTTAATGGTATCCCTTACTCATTTGAAAAAGTCCCAAGAAAAGTCAGATTTTTGTCTCTATGTATCCTGCAGAGCTACATATTTTTCCCAATTTCTTTGAAATGACAAAATTCCCCAGTTAAAAGCACCTGATACTAATATTTCATTCTGAAAAGTAAAAATAATTTTAAAAAATCATGGCAGTCTAAATGAGTCAAGAAGAATTAATTTATTAAAAAGAGGTACAAAACGTCCAATTCAAGTTGAGGGAAGTGTCAAGCAATGGATCAAGATTAGAAGCAATTCATTTATTGCTTTTTTTTTTCCAAGGAAAAATAAGTTTTGTGAGAAAATCTCAGACAGGATACCTGTAATCTTTGGATATATCTAGAACTATAGAGAAAACCCTTTATATACATTAGGCATTTGAGGATCATTTGCTTTCATGACCAAAAAAAATTATGTAAAAATTTGTGTTGATGATGTCTCAGCTGGCCGTCTAATGTTAACCTCACAAGTATTTATCTATACGTATTTCAGGCTTTCACTACAGACTTTCGTGTGCACTGGGGCCAACATCCTCTTCGACCAGAGTTTGTGGAATCAACTTACTTTCTTCATAAGGTAAAATAAATGCCACAAGATTTCAGTATAAGATAAAATAACTGATATGAGCTTTCCTTGAAAGGTTAAATAAACAATGTTCACTTTCGTAATAAGGTGAAATAATTGACAAGAGTTACTGTTTTCAGGCGTACAAAGCTGTGCATTTAATATTACAGTCTAAAAAATAGAAATTAGAAACATTAGAAATTGACACACTTGAGACAGTTTTCATGACACCATTTCAGGCAACAAATGACCCATACTACCTGGAAGTCGGGAAGACTGTGTTGAATAACTTGGAGAAGTACGCCAGGGTGCCATGTGGCTTTGCTGCCATTAGAGATGTCACATCAGGAGTCCATGAAGACCAGTAAGTTTCATCACTCTTATGACAATGTTCAGTCAGGTTGTCCACTGTAGTAAATTATGAAGTAATTGTGGCTTTGCGGGCTATCAGAGATGCCTTTCCTGTCTGGGGTCCATGAAGACCAGTAAGTTTAGAGTGTCTGTCACAGTAATGGACAGTGTTCAGTCAGGTTGACCAATGTCCACTGGGTGTAATGGATTGATTGTGGTTCTAAATCTGCTGCTGTCAGAGACATCGTCTGAGCCCCATGAAGTCCACTAAGGGAACATTGCTGGACACTGTGCAGTAAGAATGTATACTGTCCATTACAAAATGATGTACTGTAATTGTATGAGGAATTGACCTTTACCTTCAAATTAAAAAAATGAGTGTCATATATGTTTTTAATATAATGGTCTCTACATAAGATGGTGAGACAGATTTATTATTGTCAACAGCCAAGAGTCAAGATAATTTGCATACAAGCACAGAAACGCCATTCACGTGATAGTGTTCTGTAGGTGGTGGATCGTGGGATTGAGTATGACTCTCGCTTTCTGGTACGTTTATCCAAGTCGAGAAATAACTGTTTTATCTGTCTATTAAAGTTGTCTCTTTTTGCAAATACTTACATGTAAACTTGATGTTAACATTTGGTGTTTCCTTTCCAGACTGGACTCCTATGTGCTAAGTGAGACATTTAAATATTTATACCTATTATTTGCTGAGAAGGAAGATCTTGTGTTGGATGTGGATGAGTATGTGTTTACTACAGAGGCCCATCTCTTACCACTAAGTCTGGCTGTGGGGAACTATAGCTGGACTAAACCTGTGGCTGGGAAAATACCTTTGGCAACCACTGTAAGTGGATACAGAGATGTCTGGTTAATTGTGTGTGTGTGTGTGTGTGTATGTGTGTGTGTGTGTGTGTGTGTGAGAGAGAGAGAGAGAGAGAGAGAGAGAGAGAGAGAGAGAGAGAGAGAGAGAGAGACCATGGCTTCACTCCAAAAACCGGTAAATTGAGACCATGGCAGTAAAGTGAAGCTGAAAAATTGTAGATTATTTGGAACCAGCTCTTACTTTATCTGAATGAACTGCTGGTCTAAAGTTAGTTCATTTTTGGAACTGGTCCCAGATCACTATTCCATGTCTTTTTACTTAGTTCTATAGATTTTCATTGGGGTAACTTTTTTTCTTTCAATGATTTATTTTTAAAATGTTTATTTTATTTTAACAATAAATTGTTTTCACTTCAGGATGCTAGAGCTCCAGATTTTGAAGATGAACGTTTTGAGCGCTCATGTCCAAATCCAACAAGTAATCGTGGTTCTTTTGCACACGACCTCCGCAAATCACTAAGGGATGTCGTAAACAGTGCCTGTCCCAAGCCCAAAGAAAGGTATGAAAATATATATGAAATTATTGCTGATTTACTTAAATTCAGGTTTGGTGGTTGTTACAAAATGAAAATACTAGTAGCATGGAAAAAGTGATTTAAGGAAAGGTATTAACCTAAGTAAAAAGAGTTTTTTGATTTTGTGGAATATAATGTAACAAGCCATGGAGTATGTCCGATTAAGTATTTGAAGTAATGTTGTCATTGATAAGTTAATTGCACTATGTGAAGTCACATAAAAGATTACAATTCTTAATTGCAACTGGCGATATCAATTTGGTTGTTGAACAGATGTATTAGAAGGAAGATAAGAAATACTGTAGCAATTCAATTTTGAAAAAATTATCAGTTAATAATATATTTCACTTTTTCTCTCTTGAAAACAGGAGAGTTCCACGATTGCGGGCAGCAGACTTCATAGCAGGCAACGCTGACCAGCTGGACCTTCTGAAGAGCATGGGAATACGCCTGGCCACCATGTCAGATGGCAGAGTACAACTGCTACATACTGCCTCTGAGGTACCAGGATTTTTTAATTATAATAATTATGGTTTTAGTTATATCAAGTTTCATACTGTGTCTTTTAAAAGTACTTTGATTTTTGTCTTTATCATTATGCACTTTTTACCCTTAATAAATGGAAAACCATGCAACTTATTATCCTCAAACTTATTGGTTGATAAGTAGATTTCATTTGATAGGCAACTGAGTAATTTATTGAAGATATTAGTCTCGTTAATCTCTCTGAAGTATTTTACAGAAATTCTAATTTAGATTTTCTTCATTCTCAGGCTGCGTCATCAGAGGAAGCAGAGGAAGGAATGCTGTTTATGCAGGAGATGATAGAACTTTCAAAAGCTCAGCAGACAGACAGTAAGTCATGATTGTTTTCATGATAATATCGTGTAACAGTTGTGTTGTATTGCAGTGATATTTTACTGTACAGTTTGACTTATGGACACTGAAGAGACCCTTGTATTTGTTTTCTATTTCAGTCCAACAGGAGCCCCGTGTTGTACAGCTGATGTCCCCACCATACAATGGCAAAGTGGTATTGTCAGCGGGGCCAGCACAGTTTGGAAAGAAACTTACCAATTTACCTGGGGTAGGTGTGTGTGTGTGTGTGTGTGGGTGGGGGGGGGGAGCTTGTAAGAGTTAGGTTTTAGGGTACAGGGATGTAAAATTTTCTCCTAAGAAGATTTTCTCCCATTTCCTGTAAAAGAGGCTTTACAAAGCTTCTAGATTTAAAAAAAGTACTCTCTCTTGTAAAAATATCAAACAAACCTTCACGCATCTGTTAATGTTGACATCAAACTTCAAAATAGATTTCTAGCTACACCCTCAAATTGCTGTGAAATACCATGCTGTGAAATACCATGATTTGGCAAAGCTTCTATTCATCTTTTGTTTTAGCTCCGTGCCCAGGTAGCAGTGGCAGACCCCTTTAAAGCATGTACATTACCTACAAACGCAGCCCAGTTGAAGGGAAAGATTGTGATAATGGAAAGAGGAGACTGTATGTTTATAGACAAGGCCAGGCTGCTGCAGGCTGTGGGGGCCTCTGGGGGAATAGTCATAGGTATGGGCATGGCTCAGTAAACTGGAGGAGTAAAATTTTAAATGTTATTTCTCCCATGTAAATTGAAACGTAATTAACTAGTATCATTTTTCCCATGTAAATAGCAACTAAATTAATTAATATGAACTCTCTTATGTGAATTGAAATAAAATTAAACAAAAAATTTAATTTCAATTTTTAATTCTCCTATACATTTGTTTTTAACAGATGATGAACATGTCTGGTGATAAAATTGATTTAGAAAATTAAGGTTAAAAAAAAGCATACAAGAACTGACTAAAGAACATTAAATATTCCTCATTTTTGTCATCCTTTAGATCATAACCCCGGTTCCACAGCCAAGTCCGCTCCGTTGTTTGCCATGTCAGGGGATGGGAAGCAGGATGTGAACATTCCCATGGTGTTCTTGTTCCAGAAGGAAGGACAAGATCTGCTCTCTGCCCTGGCTGAACACCAAGATCTGGATGTCATCATAGGCCACAAGGCTAAGGACATGAGTGAGTATATANTCTATGATACGATGGTGAGACAAATTTATTATTGTCAACAGCCAAGAGTCAAGATAATTTGCATAAAAGCACAGAAACGCCATTCACATGATAGTGTTCTGTAGGTGGTGGATCATGGCATTGAGTATTACTCTCACTTTCTGGTACATTTATCCAAGTCGAGAATAACTCTGTTTTATCAGTCTATTAAAGTTGTCTCCTTTTTACTCACACTTGATGTTGACGTTTTGTTTTTCCTTTCCAGACTGGACTCCTATGTGTTAAGCGAGACATTTAAATATTTATACCTATTATTTGCTGAGAAGGAAGATCTTGTGTTGGATGTGGATGAGTATGTGTTTACCACAGAGGCCCATCTTCTACCACTAAGTCTGGCTGTGGGGAACTATAGCTGGACTAAACCTGTGGCTGGGAAAATACCTTTGGCAACCACTGTAAGTGGATACAGAGATGTCTGGTTAATTGTGTGTGTGTGTGTGTGTGTGTGTAGGTGTGTGTGTAGGTGTGTGTGTAGGTGTGTGGGCGCATGTCTGTGTGTGTGTGTGTATGAGAAAGAGAGGGGAGAGGAGATTGACCACGACCTTACTCCATAAACCAGTAAATTGAAACCATGCCAGTAAAAGCAAGCAACTGAGAAATTGTAGAATATTTGGAACCAATTCTTACTTTATCTGAATGAACTGATGGTCTTATGTTAACTCATTTTTTGAACTGGCCCAAGATCACTTTTCCATGTCTTCTTACTTAGTTCTGTAGATTTTCTTTTAATGATTTATTTTTAAAATTTTTATTTGATTTTCGTTTTCACTTCAGGATGCTAGAGCTCCAGATTTTGAAGATGAACGTTTTGAGCGCTCATGTCCAAATCCAACAAGTAATCGTGGTTCTTTTGCACACGACCTCCGCAAATCACTAAGAGATGTCGTGAACAGTGCCTGCCCTAAGCCCAAAGAAAGGTAATGAAAGTATATATCAAACTATTGCCAATATACTTAAATTCAGATGTGGTCGTTGTTACAAAATGAAAATAGCATGGAAAAGGTGACTAAAGGTAGTATATTAATTAAAGTGATTAAAAGAATTTTTTTTTTTTTTTTTGATGTTGTGAAATATAATATTACAAGCCATAGGGTATGTCCAATTAAATATTTGAAGTAATGTTGTCATTGATAAATTATTTTCACTAAGTGAAGTCACATAAAAGATTTCAATTCTTAATTTCAACTGGCGATATCAATTTGGTTGTTGAACAGATGTATTAGAAGGAAGATGAATGAAGATTAGAAATACTGTTATTATACAGTAGCAATTCAGTTTTGAAAAAATGATCAATGAATAATATATTTCACTTTGTCTCTCTTGAAAACAGGAGAGTTCCACGATTGCGGGCAGCAGACTTCATAGCAGGCAATGCTGACCAGCTGGACCTTCTGAAGAGCATGGGAATACGCCTGGCCACCATGTCAGACGGCAGAGTACAACTGCTACATACCGCCTCTGAGGTACCAGGATTTTTTTAATTATAAAAATGATGGTGATTATTATATCAAGTTGCATACTGTATCTTGGGTACTGTGATTTTATATGGACAGACACACTCTGTCTTTATCATTATGCACTTTTTACCCTTAATAAGTGGAAAACCATGCGACTTGTTATCCTCACACTTCTTGGTTGATAAGTAGATTTCATTTGTTGGGCAACTGAGTAATTTAATTAAGATGTTTGTTATGTAAATCTCACCAAAATATTTACAGAAATTTCAATTGAATTTTTTATTTCTTTTTCAGGCTGCATCATCAGAGGAAGCCGAGGAAGGAATGTTGTTCATGCAGGAGATGATAGAACTTTCAAAAGCTCAGCAGACAGACAGTAAGTTGTGATTGTTTTCATGATAATATCGTGTAACAGTTGTGTTGTATTGCAGTGATATTGTACTGTACAGTTTGACTTATGGACATTGAAGAGACCCATGTATTTGTTTTCTATTTCAGTCCAGCAGGAGCCCCGTGTTGTACAGCTGATGTCTCCACCATACAATGGCAAAGTGGTATTGTCAGCAGGGCCAGCACAGTTTGGAAAGAAACTTACTAATTTACCTGGGGTAAGTGTGTGGGTGTGTGGGTGGGTGTGTGTGTGTGTGGGTGTGTGTGTGGGTGGGTGTGTGGGTGGGTGGGTGTGTGTGTGTAAGAGTTAGGTTTTTGGGAACAAGAATGTTAAATTTTCTCCTAAGAGTATTTTCTCCCATTTCCTATAAAAGAGGCTTTACAAAGCTTCTAGATTAAAATAAAATGTACTCTCTTTTGTAATAGTATCAGACCTGCACTAATCTGGTAATCTTTAAAATAGATATCTAGCTACACCCTCAAGTTGTTGTGAAATACCACGCTGTGAAATACCATGATTTGACAAAGCTTCTGTTCATCTTTTGTTTTAGCTCCGTGCCCAGGTAGCAGTGGCAGACCCCTTTAAAGCATGTACATCACCTACCAACGCAGCCCAGTTGAAGGGGAAGATTGTGATAATGGAAAGAGGAGACTGTATGTTTATAGACAAGGCCAGGCTGCTGCAGGCTGTGGGGGCCTCTGGGGGAATAGTCATAGGTATGGGCATGGCTCAGTAAACTGGAGGAGTAAAATTTTAAATGTTATTTCTCCCATGTAAATTGAAACGTAATTAACTAGTATCATTTTTCCTATGTAAATAGCAACTAAATTAATTAATATTAACTCTCTTATGTGAATTGAAATAAAATTAAACAAAAAATTTAATTTCAATTTTCAATTCTCCTATACATTTGTTTTTAACAGATGATGAACATGTCTGGTGATAAAATTGATTTGGAAAATTAAGGTTAAAAAAAAGCATACAAGAACTGACTAAAGAACATTAAATATTCCTCATTTTTGTCATCCTTTAGATCATAACCCAGGTTCCACAGCCAAGTCCGCTCCGTTGTTTGCCATGTCAGGGGATGGGAAGCAGGATGTGAACATTCCCATGGTGTTTTTGTTCCAGAAGGAAGGACAAGATCTGCTCTCTGCCCTGGCTGAACACCAAGATCTGGATGTCATCATAGGCCACAAGGCTAAGGACATGAGTGAGTATAGAAGACATAGAGAATTTGAAAGGTGTACAATGTGTATTAGACCTGTACCAAAAAGAAAATTTTGATATTTCAGCAATTTCTCCTCGTGACCGAGATAAACTTTAAAATTTAAAACTGTTTAAAAAACTTCGATCTGTACATCCATTATCCAGCTCTTTGATTTCTGTCTGTTACCATCCCAAGTGAAATTCACCAGTCTCTATCTCCATAAGCTGAGAGGCTCAAAGATGAGAAACTTGGAACTTTAAAATTTAATAGATTTTAAATTTTGTCAAAAGTCTAATGTTCGTTGTGTATCTGACATGGAATGAAAAAAAAATTGTGTCAGTGGACAGTGTTAACACTAGTACTGGCTCCACACCAAATATCAGTAAAATTGAAGCCAGACCAATAGAATTTTGAAAATTTGTCCAATTAATTAATGGCCATGGTTTCTGCTTTGTGCCAGTCGATTCTTACACCCCAGTGGCCTGAAGGGGCAGTAGTTTTTTTTTTAGGATTTCAACACAGATATAAAGGATAACCAGAATCCAATATATTCCTTGAACCTCTAAATTTAAAAGTGCATTACTGAAAATCTGTCTATGATCACAACTAATAATTATCATAGGTAGCAAAAGACTGTATATTATAATTAACTTTGCTTATTTTGCTGTTAAATTTCCCTGACTTTACTCAGCAGTTTACTCGCCATATGCATTTTTGTTTTTCATGTCTCAAATTTTTTTTAGGTAAAGTCAACACTTTCAAGTACAAAGATACATTTTATGAAGAAGTGAATAAACCACTTAGCCCTGGAGAAATATATTTCATGAAGCTAAAAACGGAAAATGTTGCCATCCAGATTGAATACGTAGAAACTCCACAAGATAAGTCCCAGACTGAGCCTTTCATGGAAATTATGGATGATCCAAATAATGTTCGCACGCTATCTTTCCGTTTTGATGGCCTGGCTTTGGAGGAAAAATTAGCCAAGGAGGACCTAGGGACAGCATATATAGCATTTTTTGAAAATTTGAAGTCGCACACAAATTTTGCTCAGTTGAAAAAGCAGGCAAATTACAGACAAGCATTAACAAAGCTTTTAGAATGCGTTTTTGTATCGGGAGAAAAACAGTTGGATGAAGCAACAGAGAAGGATATAGGAGATCTCGCCCAGGAAATCCAAGTGCTTTCAGACCCACAAAAAATTGACCCTTCAGTCAGTGGTAAAGAACATTATGCTGGAGTTCAAGATTTTGAGGAAAACAAAAACAGTCCAGCAGACAATGCCCACATGGGTATACCAGCTGGTTTTAGGAAGGTGGAAGAAGGGGTTTATGTTAATGATGCCGGAACAATATTCATAAAAATAGACTCCTCCGATGAAGGCAAAGCAAAACTCCCACCTCTTCACTCTTCTCAGGATGATGTTAGCAAAGTGACCTTAAACATCAACACAGAGAATGACTTTAATAAAGTGCTTCAGAAACTTGTGCCAAATGACCAGTTGCTGGATGGGATAGATGAATGGAGGAGGAATGCCGATAAGGAAATGGAGGCAATATCTGAACAGTCAGAAGAGGGCAGCACTGAGCCCAGCCTTCAAGATGAGCCACATCCCAGTGCAATGGAGGAAGATCAGTATGCTATAAAAACTGAAAATTCTGACAGGACTAAAGAAAAAGATGAAGACATAAATGATGAAACCCATATCTCTAGTTCAGACAATAGAAATATAGACAAGAGAAAGATAATACAGTCAAGGACTTATATTCCAAAAGTGGAAACAATTAGTGATCCTGAAGAAGGTGAGGAATATGAAAGAATGCAGTTAAATAGTGAGCTGTTAGAGAGCACAGAAACAGAAGATGAAAAACAAAAGAACAAAGATGAACTATGAAGAAGCAGTTCACAAGTCATAAGTTGTATTATGATATTCTGTACAAAAGGTGAAAGACACCTGCTGTAATGAAGATCAATATGTAAGTCAGTTTAAAAAAAATATCGCCAAAAATCGCATCAGATGGTCAGTGTCAAACATGGCTTCTTGATCCGATCTTGTCTTTCAACAGCATTAGTCATTCAGGGTTATCAGAAAGTCGTACATGGATTGCATTATATGACTTAAAGCTACTGGTAGCAATTCCAACAACTTAACTTGCAATCGAGTTGTCATAAAATGTCTGGTCTGTGTAATGGTTTAAGGTTTACTCTACTTAAAATCCACACCAAGTTGAGTAAGTTGTTGAAAGATGTCTTTTATTGGATTGAAGATATGTTGATATATCATCATTGTGGACTCTTTAGCAAGTCTTCAGAATCTTTAATTATCTATTTATTTATTTTGTAATATTATAATGAAGCAAATTACATACCCACATGTTATGGTAATAGTGAATCTGTATATATGCAGATAGATGAAAGGCGCATTCACAGCAGAACTTAGAAGGCATCATCTCAACCCTGTTGTGAATACAGAGGGATCTGTGTTTTCTAGACTTGTTAAAATTGGATCAATCTCTAGTCTTTGTGAACACATCTTATTCTCTGAATTGGCAATACTTACATTTCATCTATGTGCAATTCAGACAGTGGTCACAAAGGTCATGAGTAGTATTTGGACAAATTGTTTCGTAGACAGCTGAAGGTAGATGGTCATATTTGGGCATGCTATTTTTTATAATGAGACAGCAGTGATCGTATTTTTAGTAAATGTTTATTTATTTATTTTTAGTCATGCTTTTTTTGTTTATAGTTTATTTATTGCAGGATGAAATTTGTGAGAAAATGCATTTAGAAATGTTCAGTGCAATTAATCAGAAGAAGTCTGAATGAGTACACATTGTGATTTTAATCAAATTAGAATTAACGTTAGTGGTGCATCAGAAAGAATGTGTTATCTGTTTATTAAAATGTAATGTTTACATGAATTATATTCATTACCAGAGTATAATATTTAGTATTAAATTTGAACTACTAAAATGATTATACTTATAATTAAGGCATAATATGTATAATGCTGACATAAAATGAACTGTTACATGGAAGTGTAAGAGAATTCAAATACATATCTTTAAAAAATGTTTTTTAAAAAATTTTTAATAGAATTAAAATAGTGCGTTTTTCATACGCTTTTCACAGCAGCAATGATGATAATATTAAGCACTTAACTTTGCAAGGACAAAGTCTGCATGGGGTCTGTTTTACAAGAAAAAATAAGCTCGAAAATTGGTCCAAACTTTTAGACTGACCCGATATTAATCAGTTGTTGTCCAAGTGAATGAAACAAAATTTTTTTAACAAGATTGATGGCTACTGATTAAGCCCAATACTTTAGTGCATTTCTTTGAAATTTTCAGATTTACTCAAGTATAGGCCTAAAGCATTTTTATTGATAAAATTCTTCGTTAAAAAATTTAAGTCAGTTTTTGCGCCACATACTACAAGTGAATCCATCTTGCATCCTGCCCCAAGGGGAGGGGGTAAAATTGCGGTTGCAGTGACTCGCGTCTCGGCATGAACAACGCACTCACTCGGTCTCAACAAACGCAATCATTGAACGGACACTTCCGAAACCAAGCGTGTTCTGCAGATATCCGTTTTGTCTGCAACCCAATATTCCACAATGGCTCTGAAGAAATTGCAAGGAAATTACCTACATCCCGGTAACCGGAGTCCCTTGATAAGAAAGACACAGGATATTCCGTGAGTCAGAGCCACAATTTCCGCCTGCCTCGATAAGATAGGTAATTGTATTGTTACTATAACACGCAATCGCAATATAAAATTTCTTTTATCATGAAAAAAGGTATTTTGGTCGAAAATTATACCGCTGTGTTGTTGAAGAAATATAACGTGCGTGGAGCAATAAACCGGAGCATTATTTTGGATCCCGTGCTTTCACATTTTTTTCCCTCCTTCCCTCTTGTTCACTATTAGTGATAGGAAATTAGAATTATTTATTTATACCATAATTTTAAAAATGTGGTGCTGTGTTTTTCTATAAACATGCTGTGCATTTTAATTACAAATTTAATGTAGGTATTCACAGGAAATTACGGCATAGATTATTTTTGTCGTGACCTTCATTTTTTTCGTAGATTTATGACGTGCATGTATAAATTAAGCCTACAAGACTAATTTGTTTTCATTATTTTTGTTTTGCTACATTCTAACTGCCTCTTCATTGATCCAAATAAAGCTTTATGTGTCTATCTGTTACTTGTCCTTCTAAGAAACAGGAAATATACACACCATTAACCTGCCAAGTTGTGTCCTATATTGTCCGATTATGATGGGATTTTGCGGACATGAAAAGAAAGATTCCTCAAAGCTACGGAAACTTTCATGCCCCTGATTCTCGCTATCTACTAGTAGGCCTATATTTCCCAACACTGCTAAAACTAGGAGAATGTGTAACCGTTCGCCATGAAATGTTAACCATTTCTTGTCACTTCTTTTTAGAGATACACCCATATATTGACTGGATGCCGTCTATCAGGAAATTACGAAGCGTTTCAGCTTCACTGCACTATCAGTGTCTCCACATTGTCTTTGACAAATGAACCATGATGGGTGGGATGAGCATTTACACCGTTTTATCACCATGGAATGGATGTAAAGTGAACATTGATTGTAGTGACTAACTCTTTAAACTAGTCTTTGTAAGACAGCAGAAAGAGAGAATGAGAGATGCGGGGTAAATGTCCTCAGGTTTTTCAATTCACTGCTCGTCACCCCTATATTATCAGTGTTTCATCAAAATGAGAGAGAGAGGGAGAGAGAGAGAGAGAGTGACTCCAATATAATACGTCACATTACCTCAATTTTTATCCTGAACAAATTCCGATAAACCAGATCACTTTCTATCATGTCCCATGCCTGACTAATTCGACAGTTGATATTTCACAGATAAAGAACTCCCGTTTAATGTGTAACTTTATTTTACAAATGGTATCATTTTCACAATCTAATTATTCCTTATCTTTGGTATTCACAAGGGCCGATGTTTTTGCTTGACGTACTAGCGGCCATATATTACATTTGCCAAGAATATCTGCTTTCCTAAAGGCGTCTTTGAATAAATGATCGACATTTCTCTCCATTTATCTATTTTTTTTCTTGGTTTCAGACTCCTAGACTAGGGCTAGTTTTATTTTTGGAATTGAAGAGACAGACCATGGTCATTTGTATACCAAAACTAGTTTTTTTTTCAGAGATTTATCTTTTGTAAATGAAGATGAATGAAATTGAAGTGGAAGAATTTATTTTATGTAGAAGTACCACCAAAACTTGTCATTGATACGTCTGTTATGACTAATACTTGATGCTGAAAACTTTTTGAAGTTATACAAAGAAAGAACCATAATTGACGTGGATTTTAAGGCAAAAAGATAGAAAACAGAAAATAGAGTCAGAATCCGTTTTCAAGGATTATTTTCTACCAACCTTCCGATTTCCGCCTAAAAGTAAACCAATGTCGCGTAGAGGACAAATGCATGCATGAAGACTTGTTTTACTGGTAGATGCTAAGGGGACTATTTAGATCCTCAAAATCGTGGTAAAGTAAAGGCGCGATGATGACGTTACGTACGCTGAATGAAAATATCAATAAAATGACTCTACAAGTTCGACAAAAGTCATTTTATTGATGCAACATGATTCCGGTCATCATTAAAACCCCACGTTACCGAGGACATTATATTCACAGCAGTGTCTGCCAATAAGAATAATGATGCCATTACTAGCGCTGTTTCTCCGAGATAACGAAATAGTATTTGAAAAACCCACAATTTGGACGGGATCGGAAATAACAAGTAATGATCCAAATCCAGGACTTCAGGCTAGAACATAGAAATGTGCTTAATTTTCTGTAAGACATCTTATTTATGATACAGATGAAATAATTTAGAGGAAATGTGTTAGCCTAATGTGAAATGTGTCTGCCAGAGTCTATCGCAATCTCCATGGGCTTTTCAATAATAAATCGTTTAAAGGCGACGATCTTCTTCACTTGCGTATAGTCAAATATATGCATATCGTTTGCAAAATACAAAAAAAGTTTCTAGACAGTGCGCACTTACACTGAAGCACGCGCACGTTAAAAAGCATGTGCAGAACGTTAACACGCCAGTGCAGTAATAGGCCTTCCTCAAGATGGCGTGTCTTTTTAGTGCGTGCAGTGTTTTTTGTCCTAGTGGATGGCTCGTTTTCTTTTTCTTTTTTTTTTAGAATTGCATAGTCTTGCATGTAAACAAGTTGCGGAATGTGAATAGTCGACATTTACGCAGGCAACGACCAAAGTTATCGCTCAGAAACCAATTGTGACCAAATGTCAACGTAATCACATTTCTATGATTGTATTAAATTTCATGTCATAAATTGTCGAACATAGCCAATATTTTCAGAGCTGGACAGTGATCTCCTTTGTAGGCAATTTTCAAAGTGACATGAAGAATGTCAAAATCTCTAATTGGTTGATAAATGCCTACTGTAAAAGCCCAATCAGGACATGAGAAGCGATGAACTTGGTGTAACAATACACGTGTAGATATACACTTGCTGCCAACTGTCCCCTTTTCCATGTTAACGCCACAGATTTTGTGGGATACATGTCTAAATCAAGGATATAAATCGGTGGCGGATTCAAGAAATGACGGGCGGGGACGCAAATCAATTCTCCCTCCGCAAATTCCATTGGTGATCAGACTGACATCTGATGGCCAACATGTTGCTTATACCCCTATTCCACACAGACTACGAATTCCGCCAGGAACTGATAAATTCCAGGGTTCTTACTTAATCGTGATAATCTTTTAAAGATTTTAACTGATTCTTATTTATTCTCAGTCAGTTCCTGCAACTCTTTACTTTTGGTTCCGAACTCCCGAATGCAAAAAACCTTGGTTAATTCTTAACAAATCCGAAGCAGGCCTACATTCTTAGACATCGTTACTGATTCCTAGTAATTTTGTAGTCATTCTTATGTCTTCTTACCTTAATCTTGGAATAGTGAAACATTTGTTTGACCACGATTAGACTACGATTCTGTAAAGCAGAGTGATGGGCTTTTTATAACCGTCTTGGGGGAACATTCCTCAAAATTCCAAGAACAGTCGAGATTACATTTATAATCGTGCCAGAATCGTTAATGCATTCGGTAGATGCTTAGCTTTCTATAAACCGAATCCCAATATTCGTAAAGCATTCCTAAGTCATTCTTGCAAATCGTAACTGTTGCTTGACAACATTCGTGTTATTCAATCATAATCCCACGAATATTCTTTTGTCCATCTTAACTAATTTGAAACTGAATTCCACAGGGTTAAGATATCAACTAAAAATGTGCAAAATTTTTTAAAATTTATTTCTAAAATTTCGGCGGTTCGTGGAATTCGTAGTCGATGTGAAATAGGTGCATTACTCTTCTTTGTGTCACTATTCGTACCACTTAAAATAATTTCTTATTTCGGGATCGCATCCATTTCTACTTATCAACATAAAGCGGTAAGATATCTACGGTTCTGTATGAAGGCAATTAATGAGTTAGAGATCACTGAGGAACAAAGGAAAATGTGTGCCAAATATTTCAAAATGTGCCAAATTTCTAGAGGAACACACCCCGAAGGACCTTATTTGAATACCAAATGCATGGTGTACCTACACGAAGCGGTGTTAAAAAAATTGGAGCGCTCGCACGCACCCACACAAGTGCACACACATACATGTATGTTTGCTTTTTTTCCTTTATAAAGCAGGAGGTAGATTGCTAGTTCATGTAACTCATTAATGCAGATTTCGGAGAGGTAACTAATTATAGCCACTACATCAAAGTTACCCTTTAGTGTAGAGAAGGAACAGCACTCAAAAGAACACCTAATGCATTCACGGGTAATCTCCAGGATTATGGTATTGAGTCTTCTTACCCTTTTTGAGATTTTCTGTACGATTACTACCCGTATCTTAACTACATTATTTTTATACACACGCAGAAATAGCTGATCGTATCAGTACTAGATACAGAATACACACCATTTATGCGAAACGGGGATACTCTTAATTTGATATGCATGGAAATGCACGGG